TCTGCTTTGAAGTTTTGGGCACCTCGTGTTTGCACCTGAAACCTTGCTTCACCTGTGTCAACCTCAATTTTCTCATCTGTAAACTGGGGTTGTCAATATCATTCTCATATGGCTACTGTGATGATCGACGTAAGCAATGGCTCAAAAGCCCTTTGGAAAGGCTGGAACACATGAGAGATTCATAATCATTAATACATGGTAGATGTTATCCTATTCATTTTGATGAATATTGTATGTATATTAATATTACATTATAGACTGTTACATTCATACCAACAACATAAATATAAAAGTACCTATATCATCTTGATACGACTAGCATTACTATATTACATTATTAAGATGGTAACTGTTTTTCCAACAGAAAGAGGCGTTTGAATACAAAGCCGAGTTTCTTCAGTATGTATTCTGTTCCCTGGCATTGGTGGCATCTAATGATGTGGAAGACACTTGGGGTGCATGTGGGTCTAAGGAGTGGTGCAGGGTGGGGCAGAGTAAAGGGAAGAGCACTCGGCAGGGCTTTGAACGATGGGCTCCCAAATCCCTTCTACCCTAGAGGTTCTATGGAAAAAACGATAACTAGGAAAGTTTAATCCTACCAAGGAAAGGTTATGCTATGACAGAGGAGAAAGAATTTATGACTATCTTACACAGACCTCATGCTGTATTTTTCTTTTCTGTCCTACTTCTGGTCTAGCCTTTGGAAAATGCCAGTGTAAATTCTGCCAAGAGAAAGATAGTGATGATTTGAGCTTTAAAAGTGATCTTAGAAATCTAGGACAGCTCAGTTAAAGGTAAGGAAAAGGTTGAGAGGTTATCAAGGCACGCTAAGCTAACATAAATTTTAGCCTGGATTAGCTGCATTGGATGTTCCTGGAGGCCTAAACTCACAGTGAACCGGCAGGGATTTTCATGGGCACAAAGTGACTCTCAGAGAGGAGATGTAAAGGAGTCGCTCTAAGAAGGTTGCTTACAAGGGAAGTCTTATACAACCTTACACAATCCAGTGCAAAGCATTCTACTTTTAAAATTTCTTCTTTTCAGCCACTTATGCTTCCTGAAAACAGAACTAAAGGAGTAGATAGGAAAATATACCCAGTCCCAAATTTGGTACCTGAACCTGGAGGCTGTGAGGACCATCACTTGAGGATAGAGAATGTTGGCTGATCTTTTGAGAATGCCCTGGAGGCAATAGAGGGCAGTGGAATCAGACAGTGAGCATTACCTTGATCACCAGCATCTTATAGAAGACAGGAATTCCCATCGTGGCTCCTCCACTAGCTGTGTCTCTGGGAGCAAATGAGTTAAGCAGTTTGAATCTCATTTTCTTCCTCAGTGAAAGCAGAATAGTAATTGCACCCTGTCTTTGCCTCAGGCTTGCTTTGATGGTTGTGAGGCTCGGTGTGAAAATGCTTTGCAGTCTGAGGGGCTGTGCCAGTGGGGCAGCTCCTGTCTGGGGCTGATTCTTCTCAACCTTGCAACCCAGGCCTGTGGCCCTGCTGCCTCTGCCCTGAGAACCCTGATCCCTGCTCCTGCTCATTCATTCCCTCTGTCACTGTACCCATGTTGTTCATGCAAACAGTTTATCTCTGAGGGAGAGTAAAAAGCCCTGGGACAGTCCCTGGCATGTTCATACACACTAACCATTGGATCATGCATTCATGGATCATGTACTCATGGTCTCCATAGAAGAGACAAACAGGGCAAATATCGCAACTTAGTGTCTCAGGGTGCTGCTCCAAGAAGCAGATAGTTAGGGTTAGGGTTAGGGTTAGGGTTAGGGTTAGGGTTAGGTGGGTGGAAATCCTTTTTCTACCCAAGCCTGGAGTTCTCACCTAAGTGAGTACTGCCACAGGGTTTGGGGGAAAGCTGTTAAAAAGAATCATGTAAATTCACTCCACAAGTAGTTGAGCACCTCCTACAGGTCAGGAAGCTTCCTCATCTGTAAAGTAAGGATAACAATGCCCACCTCAGCAGGTAGAAATGAGGATAAAATGAGATAATGTCATGAAAGCACTTAACATGCTTGACACAAACTAATTGCTCAAAGCTTAACACATACACATACACCCTTGTGAGGCAGAAACTACTATTGTCCCATTTGACAGACGAAGAAGGAAAAACACAGAGGGGTTTTATGACCTTCTCCGGGTCAGCCAGGTGCTAGTGAAACAGCTGGGACCCTGGCAGGATGGAATGCACTTATCAGCCCATGACAGAGAGTGAACAGTCCATAAGTTGTAGCTATTTATATCATCAGCCCAAAGCTTTTAAGACTCAGCTCTATGCACAATGGCTGTTCTGTAAATATCAGCGGAATTACTTGTCTTGCTGGATAAATGAGTACTGCCCCATTGCCCCAAAGGTTTCCACTTTTAACTTGTCCATTCCCCAGTAGCTGAAGTGTCATTTTGTCATCAGAGCCTCAGAGTCAACCCAAGAGTATAAATTTACATCTTGGCATTGTTCATATTCTCTCTCTTGAAGCCTGGCCCTTTGAAAACACAATAATATTTATTTATAATAGAAGTGCTTTATGACTTGCTTGCCCTCTAAATTTCCTTTGCTCTTTGGGGAAGGCTGCTGACAGGCGGTGAGACTTTGCTTTAGCTCCTGGGCTGGGACCGTAATTAACTGCCAAGGAGAGGGAGCCAGGCAGGGGCAGCCAGCAGAGGCTGTGTGCGCTCATTTAAGAGGCTGGCTGCCAGTCAATCGTCAGGGGAAGGGGAGATTATGCTTGGCCTGCGGGCTTAGACAACGGTGCCAGGCCCAAGATAAACAGGCAGCCTGGTTCAAACTTGAGAGTTCCCCATTTTAAAAGGCTTGAGTATGTAGATTATTGGCAGTGGTGGAGTCCTCAGTGCCTCTGTTTCTGGGAATCTCATCAGTTTGTTCTCTGGAAAGCAGCAGCAGTTTAGGGTTCCTAGTCTCGAGATCGACAAGCTTTTTCCTAGGAATTTAGATTGTCATCCTGCCATAGCTACAACTAGAGGAGTCTGCCTCCCTTGAAGTGTGACGTTGCTGTAGGGAGAGTTAAGGCCAATGAAATGTTCATAGATTGTCAGACCTGGATGGAATCTTATAGTGGAGTGTTTGTCAACACAAAGGCTAAAAGTCATCTGCATCTGCAGCGCATCAGAATTGCCTGGGCTGCTTTACTGAATTACAAGTCCTGGTTCTCACCTGACTACTTTATCAGAATTCTTGAATTGTGGGTTCAGGAATCTCAGCATTTAATCAGGTTCCCCAGGTTATACCATTGCACAGTGATGCTTTACAAGCACAGATATGGAGAAGCAGATTCAGTCATCTGAATTACAGATAGAGACACTGAGACATTTAAATTCACCTCCAAGGAGGGAGAAAGACAAATAATGCCCATGTCTTCTGACTCTCAAACAAATGCTATTCTAAAATGACATCATGTTCCCTTTGGCTTCAAGGACACTAAAAAGTTTCCTTCACAAACTTTACATTACCGTCTCTTTAAGGTCAAGGCTTAGCTCAAGCAGGGGGCAACAGGCTTTGGCAGATCCAAAGTCCACTTATTATTGTTAAAATGAGGAGTAATAGATTTTGGGAGAAATCACAAATTAAAATTTAATAGTGATGTCTAGGAAAGAAGAGTTAGACAAAAATGGCGTAAAGATATTTGTTGTCTTGCGACTACTGCTTGTTGATCAAGAACGTTTTCTTACTGTATAGTTATCGAAATAAGGCAACTTTATGCTGTCATGGTAGTCTCTAGTTTGCAGGAAGCAAAAACATCTTATGAATGCTGCAGATTTCAAAATGCTCTCCTAGCCACGACCTCATTTGATATTCACCCCACCCTGGTGAGATGTGTGTTTGCATATCCATTTAGGTGATGGGATTGAAAGAAGTAGAGACTTCTAAGTCTAGTTAACAACTGACTTAAATCCAGAGACTATTAAAAAGAATATTAATAATTTTTTGTGAGTGTATTATATGCCAGGCGGCTCCCTGAGCACTTGACATAAATTTTCTCATTCAATCCTCATAAGCACATTATATACTTAACTAATTCATACCGCCTCACAGCAGTGATGTGATAAAGAAACTGAGGTAAAAAGAATGAATCATCTTTAAATTATTCCTCTATTCATTCAACAAATACATATTGAGATTTTTAACTTCTGGACATTATTTAGGCTCCAGGGACACTAAGTAAACTGAATTCCTGCTTTCATAGAGATTGAGGAGTGACAACACTAAACAGGTAAAAAGCAAATATATAAATTGCTATGAAATAAGTCAAGAATAGGCTATGGGGAGTACCTGGACATGGGGAAGTGTTCTGTTTTAGAGACTGGTCAGATGCTTGATGGTTGAGCAGACATCTGAAGGAGGTAAGTGAAGGAGCATGGAGCTGACCAGAAAGAACAAGTACAAAGGCCTTAAATGCGATCAGGGTCTCTCTCTTGATCCAGAAAAAATGGGGAGCAGAGTCATCAGGAGAGAGAGAGAGAAGTGAGAGATGAGTCAAAGAGGGGGCTGGAGCTAATGTCCTGTAGTGGTGGGGAAAGTCCTTTTACTCTAAGAGAGATAGGAAGCCATTGGAAGGTATTGAACAGTAGAGTAACATGATGTGGTACATTTCAGAAGGACTGCTCTGAATGCTCTGGGGGGTAGAACTTACAGAGGGCAAGAGTGGAATTTTCCCAAGGCCATGCAACTATTAAGTGTTTGGTGGTGGTAGGGGGACACTGTCTGAATTTTCATATCTGACTTCCTGAACCAGGCTTCCAGAGGAGGCTGAGATCTGTCTAGTGAGCGTGCTATTCTCACTTTCTGTGTATCCTGTGCTTAGTTCCCTCCTGGCACATGCAATAAGCTCTCCATGTATACAGGGGATGTTGCCTTCTCTGGCAAAGGGCAGGAGTCCATTGGGGTGGGCCAGCAGGCAGAGCTGTGCTCGATGCGTGTGGACATAGCCAGAGCTGCTCTCAAAGCCATCGCCTCAGGTAGCCCTCGCTCACCTTGGACTTCTCTTGATGAAGCTCTATCTGAATGTCTGTGAGCTTGGTCCTGAGGTCTTCATTGGCAGCTTGGAGGGCAACAATGAGTGCCTCGGGCTTCTCGCCCTTATTTCGCCCTTTCTTGGACATTGTTCCTTTCTAAATGGAGTCTGTTGGTTTTTAATTTCTTTCAGGCAGGTGCTGCCATGTTACTGTTTCTTATCCTGGAGTGCGATGTCTCAGCATCTACTGTGTGGTGCTCCTTGGTAAGGTTTCCTCAACCGCTGCCCTGGAAGCCCTGAGAAGAGGCAGAGATAGTAGTTATTGTTTTGGCAAAGACCTGGTCTAAGCGCCAGTCAGTCTATTCTTAGCCTGAGTTGCCTGTAAGAACCTCCTCCTGAGGCTCTTCTCTCTTCTGTCTTCAGTATCTCCTGTCCACTTTGTACGTAAATTTAGAGTGATTGTTTTTTCAAAAAGCTTATCTAATTATGTCAATATCCTGCTTAAAATCCTTCACCTATAAGCATATCTCTTTGATGTCTTCAAGTGTTCTTTTTACCTGAAACTGCCCGCTTTTCTATCCCTATCTCCTTTATGTCACTCACAGATACTCCAAACATAAGAAACATGGTTGTTAAAGGAAGTCACTATGTGATGACCTCATAAGGCAGAAAGACCCAACTTTAAGAAAACCCAATATATAAAGACAGGATTACATGCAATGGCTAAATTGTGAGAAGTGGGGAATAACTATAAATGAATTGTTTGAGTGACTGGATTGAGTCGCTCATATATTCATTCATTCAGTCAATATTGTTAGAGCTCCTTCCATATGCTGTGCTAGGTACAGAATGCTGAAACAGAAAAATAAGTCAGAGTTCCAATGGGGAAAAAAATACCTGTCATTTCTCTCTCTCTCTCTCCATCTACATCACCATTAATAATCTGGTAAGTGTTTTTTTAAAAACATATGCATGAATTGTTTCAGAAGTATAATCAGTGACCTCTCTTTCCACCTGGGGTGAATAGGAAAGACTTCCTGAAGAAGGCACCATTGGCTTGGAACTTGAGGAGTGGGCGAGATGATAACAGATGGAGAAACAGGTGAAGCATCATGGGCAAGGAAAATGGCAGGTGCTGAGACACAACAGAGAGAAATCGCAGTGACTATTTTGTGGGAAGAAATAGGGCCTGATTAATTATACCCCAAAATGTGGTTGGTGGGCACTAATGCTGGAAAGCTTTCCTGGAAAGGATAGATGGCAGGGAGGCCTAGAATTCCAGGCTTAGAATGTTTGAATCCTATTTAAGTAAGCAATGGGGAAGCTGTTGAAGTTCTTGGCAGGTGTGTGCGCTAACAGAGCGGTACTTTGGTGTGGTTATTCTGGTGGCAGAATGGAAAGTGAATGGATGCAGGGAGACCAGATAGGAGGCAACTGAATTTGTCCAGGTAAAGGACGAAAGCCTAATCAGAATGTTGGCAAGAGGAGAGAAAAGGAGTCGCGGGAGGCAGATGTGTCTTGATTTACAAATTCTTGAATACTTCATAGGAACAAGGAGCCCAGAAAAAAAAGATACTAAATAATTAAAGTCAATGGGGAAAACATGGCAAGATAATTGAGAAAGTTTCCCATGCAACCTTTCGGAAAATTGGGCATTGTGTATATTGAGGATTTTCTGTCCAGAGCTAGGGAGAACTCCTGCTGACCACCCATATGTTCCAGCAGCTGCTGCTCTCTTAAGACCATTGGATCTAGCATTGACAGCCATGCTGGGATCCTGGGCTTTGTGCCATCTGCTCATGACCACTGAAGTTATGCTCTTTGGTGTGTGTCCCTGGGGGAAGGGGACAGGGAGAGATTAGGAGGTAGGAATGATGTCTGCAGCAGTTGTGGAACTGTCCACCACATCCATCCTGTGCCACATGCTAGAGTTGTTCTTCATGCTTCCTTTGCAAATCTGGCCAAATTATTGAAGTGCAGGGCTGTGAGGCCTCTGACAGGGCACCTTTCTTTGCTTTTAGTCTTGGGATGAATTCAGCAAGCGTATATTGAACATTTGTGTGACAAGCATCACTAGGCATATGGACAAACAAGATAGTTCTTAAGCTCAAGTAGGACTGAGTGAGTAAATTCACATATGTGTATCTAACGGGTTTCTCTCTGTTTGCTTCCTAAATGTTGTTGTTGTTCTGGGCTTTTCCAGCTGACCTCCACTGGTCTCCTGTATAGTTATGACCCACAGTTCTATATCCATAGCCCCAACCATTATTCAAACACCAGACTTATATATACATAAACACTTTATTTATCAAATCCACTTGAATATCGGATTGGCACCTCAAACCTAGCATAACTCATACAGATGTCTTTATTACACGAGTCCCCCCAAACCTTACTCTCCCCAAGTTTTCCTAGATTATTAAATGGCAAAACCACATTCTCAGCTGTCCCAGGTATAAGCTTAGAAATCATCTTTTCTTCTATTTTATTCCTTGTTTCTCTTTTTCACTTCACTAAGAAGTTCTGCTTGCTTTGTCTAAAAAATGTGACTCTCTTTGGCCAATTTCCCTCAAACCCCTAAAGTGCTGTTAGAACACAGAGGAAAAAAAAGGAGCTTGGGAATAGCTGCATAGTCCCTTCATTGTTGTCTTCTTGAATGAAAAACAGGCTTTTCTAAGCGCATGTATGGAGTGGTAGATAAAGAGCTTGAGCAGAACCCTGAAGTCACAAATTTGCCTAGTGTATTTAGAAAAGGTTGGCCGGGCGCGGTGGCTCACGTCTGTAATCCCAGCACTTTGGGAGGCCGAGGCGGGTGGATCACGAGGTCAAGAGATCGAGACCATCCTGGTCAACATGGTGAAACCCCGGCTCTACTAAAAATACAAAAATTCATCTGGGCATGGTGGTGCGTGCCTGTAATCCCAGCTACTCAGGAGGCTGAGGCAGGAGAATTGCCTGAACCCAGGAGGCGGAGGTTGCGGTGAGCCGAGATCGCGCCATTGCACTCCAGCCTGGGTAACAAGAGCGAAACTCTGTCTCAAAAAAAAAAAAGAAGAAAAGAAAAGGTTGTGAACTGGAAGAAGAGAAACAGCTGAGATTTCAAAGCTTCTTGCATGATAGGCTAGGGAGTGTGAAGTGGATTATACAGGCATGCAGAAGCATGGCAGCATTTGAACATATGTGTAATAATAAGAGCTGCTTATGATGAGTCTGTCATTGGACTAAAGGATTAACATCTTGTTCTTACAATTTTCACAAAGTTTTGAGAAAAATGGTGAACTGGAAGATTAGGTAACTTGCCTAAATGGACCAAGTTGATTGGTGGTGATGCTCAGACTCGAATCTAAGCAATTTGAGGCTGGGAACCAAGCTCGTATTCTCTGGACTGCACTGCCTTGTATTTGCATTTTAGGAAGGTAACTGTCAGGATTGTGGAAGATGGTGGAAGAAAGTCAGTTAGGCTGCTTTGCTTTAATGGTCCATGTGAGAGGTAATACAGCCCTCAACAGATTAAAAAAAAAAGGTGGCAACTTTGACACAAGGAGTCATTGATGGAATCATGCCAAATTTGTAAACATTACTACTGGTTTGAACATTCTTCTCTCCCATTGTAAATATTGAGTACGAGCTCTACAGAACTGCTTGTAGCAAAAATGTGTACAGAGACAGATATAATAAATACATTTTACATCTTAATTTATAATTTTACCTAAAAATATAACACTATGTGCCGGACTTTATCTATTTTTAGCCTGGGAAGTATTGTGAACTTAGTCTCACAAAGGCTGAGGAGAAGGAAACGGTGAAAAAAATGGTATGCACATCCAGAAGAGAAAAAAGCATCACAGGAAGTTATTGATAGCATCAGCTTATGGGTGCTTTAAGGTGGGCAACTTCAAAACATGGTCCCATACACCCCTCTGGTGGAGGAGAACTTTCCAAACGCTCTCTGGTTGCAATGGGTGCCTGGCAACCTCATGATTCTAAGACTTTAATGTTACTGCATCTCTTTTGTCTCTTTGTGCTTTTTTTTTTTTTATAACTTCTTTGAGATATAAGTCACATACTGTAACATTCACACTATTAAAATGTACACTTCAGTAGGTTTTCATGTATTTACAACGTTGCACAAATATCATCACAATCAATTTGAGAGTATTTTCATCACCCCCAAAAGAAACTCTGTACCTAATAGCCATCATTCACTATTCCCTCCCCAGCTTTCCCAGCCCTAGGCAACCACTAAGACTATTTTGTGTTTTGTCTCTACTTAGTTTTGTCCCTATGGATTTGTCTATTCGGGAGATTATGTATAAATGGAATCATATGATACTTATTTTTTTGTGACTGGCTCCTTCCACTTTATCATAACGTTTTCCAGGTTCATCCAAGTTGTAGCATGGATTGATACTTCATTTTTAATTGCTGAATAATATTCTATTGTAAGGATAAACTGCGTCTTATGTATTCATTGCCTGATGGACACTCTTGCTGCCTTTGTGTAAGTGGCTTAAGGTCAGCTTTCTACAGAAGCTGCCAGCCATGACGGGGGACATCACTTGTGAAGGAGTGCATAGAAGAGAGTGCCTGAAGGGATCACTGCACGCAGGTGGAATGTTGCTGGACACTCCAAGAGTCCTTGCCACTGATGATGTCTAGCCCAGCAGATTATCAGCAGGAAGGATAGGGGACTTGTTCCACTAAGGGCCAATCTCTGTGGGAGCTTTACAACATAAAAAACTTGAAGGAACCTGAAGTCAGCCCTAGGTGTCTAGCTGCTAGCTGCATGGTCAGGCAGCAGTAGTCCCAGGAGACGTTGTGAGGCATCCAATATGTGAATTTCAGCTTACTCTTCTGACCTTTCACTATCCTTAATCAGACACTTCATACAGCCACTGAGGCTGAGTTTCTCTGTAATGGTTTCTGTCTCTGATAAAGATATTAAAGAAGTTAGAAATTCTTAGAAATTAGCCTCTTAGAAATTCTTGCACTTTGAGAATTTCTTAGCCTCTTGGAAATTGTTGCATTTTCAGAATCATTACTTAAGAGCACACCTTTATGCAGTAATGGATTATTAGTGAAATAATTACAGGCATCATTTATTCATTTAACAGGCATTTATTGAGAAGGAAATACAGTGTAGTATTTTAGACTAGGGCTTCTTGAATCTTTGGTTTGGTTGCATCAAAATCTACTTGAGAGCTCTAGTGATAAGGAGCTCCACTCTTAGAGATTTCGATTTAGTAGGAGGCAGATGATTCTGATACACAGGCATCTTTGAGAACTTCTCATTAAG